GATTGCCAAGATGGATCATTAAGTAACACAAACAAAAAATAAAACAACAAAACATAATATTCCCAACTGTGTGTCTGTTCAACTGCTTTTTGTATAAATAAAGTAATAATAAATATCTGTGTTAGAGTATAAGCCATTTTCTATAGTCTTAGGAAATAGTCTTTCAAATGTTGGCCCCAATTTATTTTCCCAGGTCAATCAACCTTTCTTATTCCTCTAACCAACTACAGTCCTTTTGGGCCATGTAACCTCTGCTTTAGCTACACTGAGCCACTGCACATGTCCAGGCATCTCTGTACAAAGATCGTTCCCTCTGCTGAAACACCGACACGGCTGCTGTCTTCCTGATAAGCTATTTAACCTTCAAGGAGATTGAGTTCCAGTAATACCTCTGCACTAGGAAGAGAGAGAGTGGCTCCTTTCAGTGGGGTCATTGCCTTTCTTATCAGATAGTACTGAAATTCTTTTCTCAGATACATAACTCCCCAGGAAGGCCAAACAAAGGCCAGAAATTCAGGGACAGCTATTTTGTATTAAAATAAATTTCTTTTTTTTTTAATTATTTATTTATTTATGCAAGCACTGGGTACAGTCAGAAGCGCGGGAGGGTGAGAGAATTCACCAGAGCCAGAGCGGGGAGCAGAGCAGGCAGAAGGACTGAAGTACACTGCTGAGGGGAGCAGCGGGCGGCAGGAGAGGTCTGCGCAACATGTGGGACCCTCGCCGGTGGCCAGGGATCAAACTGGTGCTGCAGAAGCTGCGGGCAGCCTCACAGCCCAGCACTCAACCGCTGCACCACCAGGGAGGCCCTAAATTGAATTTCTTAACGTTCACCATTTTTCCATGTAAAGTGTAGTTGGTCTCACTTCTTGAGGGCATCTTTGTGATGATGCTTTGGCTCACTACCAGCTCACAGGACTCTTGGAAGACACCAGATTGCCTCCTGCCATCTTCCTCTCTGGTCTCTCAGCCTTGCTTATTTATTTTTCTATTTTTTTTAAATGTATCTCCTTCTTCCACCAGAGAGCATTGCTATCATTGCTCTGTGCAACGGCCTGCCCTTTCCTTTTATTCTGATTCCCACTCTCTTCAGGTAGCCATCTTGAAGTGCCTGACACACATGTGGTTTTTCATTCACAAGCATTTTTGCAAAATGTGTCTTCTTGATTCATAAGCATATAACTTCATTTGAGGCTAAGTGGCATATTGGTGGACACATCATAGATGTTTTTGCATTTCTCTCCCTCAGCAGTAAGTTTTTAAGACCATCCATGTTGGTGGGTCCATAGCTCAACTGATTCTTCCAACTGCTGTGTGGGTGTGCACCCCCCAAACTTCCTCTCTGCCTCCAGCACCTCAACACGCCCCACAAAGTCCTGGTGCATGTACACTTATGGTGGGAACTGGGGGTGCACCTGCCCAGTGCCAGATGAATGTGTTAAGTTTGACTGCATGAGTTAAGACTGCTCAACTGCTCTCAGATCTGCTAGAGAGTCGCATTGTCCCCAGCAATGGACAGTGCGCTTATAGCGCCCCGTTCCTCCCACATTTGACAATATCCAGCTTTCTAACTGAGCTAGGCTAATATCTATAAAGAGATATCTCATTATTGTTTTCATTTGCATTTTTCTCTGATTAGTAATGATTTTGAGCGTCTCTTCGATGAGCTTGTTAGCGTCGAGTTTTCTCATCTATAAATGACTATTCATATCCTTTGACCATTTTCCACTGGGTCGACATTTCCTTCTTATTATGATGCAGAAATCCCTAGCATATTCTAGAAATAGTAATCCCTTGTTGTCTTAGATATTGCATTTGTTTTGATTTCTTTGAACAAAAACATTTTTTCCAATAAAATAAAACTAATCCGTAGTGTGCTGCCTTGGGGTATTTGCTTTTGAAATTTTAGTTAAAAGGTCGTGACCAATGCTATGTAGAAACAAAAAGAAATCAGAGAGGTAAGGATTGGGAGGGAAGAGATAAAAAGGACATTATCAGCAAATGATATGATCATCTACCCAGCATAACCAAAGGAATCAACACATGCACTGTTGGAACTAATAATAGAGCTCAACAAGATTGCCAGACTCCAGATCAACATACAAAAATCAATAGCACTTCTCTACCCCAGCAATAACCAACTTGAAAATAAAACATAAAAATGAGCAGTGCTTTTCCACCTGGACAATGTATTTCCTAAATTTTTTGCGTTTTGTTTATTTAAGGGAATAGGCTATCTACTATGGGACATTAATAGATACCCAGTATCCTAAATGGAAACTACTACGGAGGATTGAGAAGGATGGGGTGGGGGTCAATGACAGAGTGACCCCCTAGATTGGAAGGAGGGGACAGCTCTCCAAAGTATCAGAGGGTCTATGCATTCAGTGGTGTGTGATAGTTCCTTCAGGTGAGAAATAGGTGTCTTTTTCAACTCTGCCTCCCCATCACCTGGTATCTGCTACCTTGAGGTCATCATCCACCATATTTATTGACAAATGAATGGTGAGCATGTTTACCCAGGTCTTAGTGACCATTCAGTTACAGCTTTGATTAAGTCCCAGATGAATGCTTTCTTTTTTTTTTTAATAATAAATTTTATTTTTATATCCCCCATACAATTGCAACCCCCCCATTCTGATCCCAATCCCTCCCCTCCCGCCCCCCACCCCCCCAAAAGTGTCTCTGTTTCATAGTTTTTTGTTGATTCTGATTTTCACTTTCTTATAGTTATTCATTTTCCTGGTCCCTTATTTAAGTTTCTAGATTCCTGCTATGAGTGAGACCATCCGGTATTTTTCTTTTTCTTTTTGATTTATTTCGCTGAGCATGATCCCTTCCAGCGCCATCCATGTTGCTGCAAATTGCATGTGTTTATCTTTTTTGAATGCTGAGTAATATTCTATGGTGTATATGTACCACATCTTCTTGATCCAGTCACCAGATGAATGCTTTCTAAGGGTTGAGTTGATTTTGACTGATGAACAAGGACAGAATGTACAAAAAGTCCCATCTATGAGAATAACTTATAAAAGTATTCTTGAGATAAAGACTTTCTATCTTAAGAGTTCTTTGGACCCTCCATTCAAAGCATACATTTAAATTGTGGTAAAACATGTAAAACATTACCATTCCAGTCACTTTTAGGAATACAGTTCTGTGGTACTAAGTACTTTTACACTGTTGTACAGCCATCGCTACCATCCATCCATAGAACCTTCTCATCTCCCCAAACTGAAACTCTGCCCTCATTAAGCCATCACTTCCTCTTTCCTCTTCCCTCCAGCCCCTGGCAACCATCATTCTACTTTTTGTATTTATGAATCGGGCTATTCTGGAAAACTCACATAATTGAACTCTTACGACATTTATTCCCTTTTGTCTGCCCTGCCTCAGTTAGCAGTCTCTCTTCAAGGTCCAACCATGGTGTAGTACTTGTCAGATTCCCTTTCTTGTGAAGACCGAATAATAGTCCATGATATGTAGATACCATATTTTGTTAACCCATTTACCCATCAATGCATATAGGGGTTATTTACACCAGTATTCTAAGGCATGTTTATCTTGTGCATAATCTTACCCCGACAAGTCAGGGGGAAGAAATAGTTATTTAATACAATCCAATTACTTCCACCTTGTACAGGAAGTAAGGGTGTGGCAGTTAAGCAGGGAGGGGGTCGTGGGGGCCATCACACCCACTCCCTATCCACCAGGCCTTACTTTTCCACGTCCCCATCCTCTACATTACGAGTGAAAAGCTTAGAGAAAGATTCCTAGTCTACCCCCATGGTCATGTGCTGAGACCTCGTGGATCATGTGCTAAAGGAACAGGCCAAGGGAGCAGAGAGCCCCATCCTGTATTTATTACATGTGGGGGAATACCTGGTTCTCAAAGCTCTGATTAATAGAAAATAATTCATGGCCTCAGAAGTCCATTAGTCAGGCAACTAACATACCAGGGCTTTCCTCGGTCACATTTCTTGGTTACATCATTTGACACTGTGGCAGTTTGGCGTTGCACCCCCATGTCAACTAAGGCTCCCCAGAAAGTTGGGGCAGCAGGAGCCAGGCCATGGTGAAAGCAGCCTTTTCATTATGTCTAGGGTGATATAGAACTGGTGGTATAACAGGCTGACTATAAGGGATTATGTATTGATCTGGCTCCTGAATTTATTCTCAGCTGGTTATGGGTTGTTACATATAAATTCTCTGGCAAGTTAGTCAGCCTGCTGAGCTCATAATACTCTTAGGATTGTGGGGCAGGAAGGTGACTCCTATCTCTGGGCAATGTGAAAAGTAGGAACTGGAAAGAAAAATAATGAAATGTTGAAACAGTGAAGATGTTGGGAGTGCAAAGAGTGAGTTTGGGATTTGGGACTGGTCATGCATTCAGGAAAAAGCCTACCTAAACAGAATGGAAAGCAGGGAATGTCCAGTGTCCTCATTTAGGTATTCATTTTGCTCAGTGATTTCTAGACAAGTTCTGGGGGACTCTAAGTGTGTCTGAGATGAACAGGTTTGGTGCCCAGAGCTAAGTGATTTGTCCTTATTTTGGGCAATGATTCAGGCTCTAAAAGCAGCACTGACTGTTCCCACCTGGAAGGAGGTAGCATGGAGGGCTAGGAGTGAAGGGGCGGAGTCCCGTAAATTAGGGGTTTGCTTCTGTCAGCCCTGAAGAATATCACACAGAACAGTACATGCCAAGAAACAAGTTTAGGAATAAATGACCAGTTTGGATGGGGGCTGAAATCCTTGGTTTTTTCAAATATACACCTTCCTAAGAATCCAGAAGGAGATTTGTGCAGAAGCTTGGAAATTTTACAGCCCAAATCCAAACCCACTCACAAGCACCGAGTGGAAGGAACATCTATTTTAGATGTCATAGCCCCACGACTGTTTCCCTTGAGCAGCAGCTAGCAAGTTTTCAAAGAACATGCAAGGAACTAGGCATAATTTTTCTGGGCCCCTCAGTTGGGCAAAGTTGATCTCTCAGAACTTACTGATCCGCATGGTTGTCCAGAGTGACAACCATGGTGGTTCCTGAACTGCCATTGGCCAAGCACCACAGTTTCAAAGCAAACAGAACCAAAGAGGACCCCGTTTCAAGATGATCGAATGAATGAAACATCAGTTGTGAATTTGCCCTAATGGGTCTGCTCAGGCATTCTTGGTCATCTAAAGTAACCCCCCGGGCTTTATGACATCCCCCTGGGCTGTGGCTGCCTGGCCTACAATGATCCAGCCCCACTGTCCTCCCACTGTCCTCCCACTGTGTCTGCGTGTGGTACACAGCTCAGAATCCCCAAATAGCAAACACTCCATGCCTCGATACAATCGTCAGCAAGACATGGCCTGAGTGACCTGAAAAAAATTGGTCACACCCCCAAAATGCCAAACTTGCACCCGAAGCTTGGCTTTAACTCCCAAAGACTTAAAGTCAACATGTGCCTGGGCATCAAATCAGAGAGAACTGTCAACTCATTCAACTTGTCAGTTCCGTGGCCCTGAAATTTCTTTCTTAAAACAGTATCTGATTTCAAGAGTAAAGGAAGAGAACGTATAATACAGATGTTTCACGGAGTCTGAAGTACCCAGCAACTAAAACTATCACTTTTATTTTATCAGCCACCTCTGAAGAGTTCAAAGCATTTTTCGTGAGCGTTTTAATGGACCATCTCACGGCAGCAGAGTGGGTAGGCATAATCCTCATTTTACAGAAAGAAATGGATGAACTGCTACAGGTCGGCTGATTCCTAGTTTCTTTTCACCACATGTCATTCCCCAAAGCTGGGCCACGCAGGTCAGGACTGTCTGTGCCTGGGGGGCCATGGGAAGTCAGGGTGCTCTTGGTCTAGGTGGAGGGGGCAGCCGAAACCAGCACTGGCCAGACCCTACCCCACAGTATTACAGATCATCTGATTGTTAAAATGAAGATGTAAATCTAATAATTTGAGAATAAAGTCCACTAATATTTAAATGTTAGCTTTTTAAAAAAAATTCCCTGGAAGCCAAACAAATCACATCTGTGAGCCAGACACTGTCCAAAGCAGCCGGTTTGCAACCGCAGTCCTGAGATGTCACCACTGATAGCAATTTCTACTTATGCTTAGGGGTGGGGAAAGGAGCTCCTATTTAAAGCCACAAACGACCGCAGCCACATCTGCCTGCGAGGGGAGGTGCACCCATTCCTGTCATCTGGAATATTTGCAGCCATCTGCCTGTGAGGGGAGGTGCACCCATTCCTGTCATCTGGAATATTTGCTAAGAAATATATTGTGATAGGCTTGGACTATGAGACTCCCTGTCACAATTCCCAGACGTGATTTGAAAAGGGAGAGGAGATTGTATCTGCTTAGAAAAGAGATAGAATGTCGGGGCTGGAGGTCTGTGCCCTTCTTTCCCAGCTTCAGTGAAAGTTTACAAGTGATTATCTCTTGTGAGGGGAGCTTGGGAAAAGGCTGGTGCTTCATGCCTGTATCCATGTGGTTAGTAGAGAAAAATCAGCTCCAGGGGCAAGGTTCCAGATGCGTCAGCAGTTCTGAGCCAGAAGGAAGTAGGAGAAGTCATACGGGGCTCCCCTGAGACAGAGGGAGGGACGTTCCTCGGCTTCCCACGGTAGGTGGGACTCTATTGAAGGTTTTGTTTTTCTTTTCATTCTGAAGGTCAGCATGACCCCAGCAGCCTGGCGGCCTGGAGACATGTTTAACCAGGCAGCCAATAAGCTTTGAGTCCCCCAAATCAGGGCACACACCACAAACTGCTTCATGGTGAACGACAAAGGCTCCCTTCCTGCTAAGAGTTCCAGGGTTGGCAGGCCCAGGGGACTGAGTCTGGGCCCCACAGGTAAAATCTGTGTGCCGGAAGATTCAACCTCTCTGCTCACACCCACCAAATGGCAGGGTTGGGGGAGCCCCCATCCTGGAGATGCCACATGGGGTATCACCTTCTGGTCACAAGACAAAGCCACAGTCAGGGATTTGCTCCTTTCCTGGGTCTTGGGGAAAGTGTCCTGCACACCCCGCAGAGGTTGTCTGGTGCAGATAGAGCCTCTTAGAACGTTCCCAGGCATTCAAGATGCTACCGTGTTTGTCTACCGGAGATCATAGGAGGCCCCTATGGCTTACCTTGGAAATTGTTCCACCTCTACACAGTGCCCCTCCATCCAGCTGACAGAGGCTGAGGACTTAGGGCTCCACCCAAGGAGAGTGACCTCTCCTGGAAGGCGGAGGAACTTTGCTATTCAAGGTTCCCTACTGGAGCTTCCTTTCTTATCTACTTAGTGGATTTTAGAGCCTTTTATCATGAGTCACAATGGAGAGGTGGATTTCCTTTGCATCTGCTTGGCTATAATTAATGTATGAATTGTTGGCATTTTCTTTTTTAGAAAAAAATAATAAAACAACTGCAAAGGGAGAGTCAAGAGCCCACCCGTGGTGTGACTACTGTCACCTCACATGACCAGATCAGTTTATTTGGTTAAATCAATGTGAACTGTAGCCCTGAATAATTTATTGAACTATTGAACCACTTGCAAAATAATTGAAGCTTGAGCCTAGTTCTACATAACAGATTTAAACTGGAGAGAAACGTATTAGCAGGATCTCAACCTCGAGAAATAGAAAAGGCGGTGAGGAAGCTGACAGTCTTTATCGCAACACACTCATGTAAAAATCTTTCTAACTGGCCACTGTCTTTGCCAATGACTCAGGGATGTCCCCATTCCACCCCTACTGGGCCCTCCCACAGAGAAATGTAACTGAAATGGTGAAGTAAGAGAGACATGCCAGCATGAGAGATAATCCTAGAGTTTGGGGAGATGGGGGAGCAGGGAGGGTCTCTCAACGGTCCACTTGACAATGACCTACAACCCAAGGATCTGGTGGAGATGTTCTGGGGAGCACTGGGATCCGCTGGCATGAGGAAGGGAAGTGTTGGCTCCACCTGGAGAGATGGCATCTGGAGTTTCATGGGCACATCTGGGCTCGGAAGATTTGAGGGGCATTGATAAAGTCAGGAATCCAATAAATAACCATTGTGGTGGAGAAGGAATTTCAGCCACATCCAGTGGAGATCAGTTAAGAAGCAAACTTTTTCCTTTTGTTTTTATTTTTTAAATTACTATTTTTTTATATTTTTACATCATTTTTCATTTGTGTACAATGTATGCATTTTCCTATCGGTTATAGTCCTTGTGAAATTCCCACCACCCATTCACCTGTGCACCATAACCATAGTCCATTGTGCTCTTCCCTCTCCTGTTTTGATCTTTGATCCTACTCCCTTCTCCCCAGTGTGCAAGTTTTTTGCTCTGTATATTATAGCATGGGAAATACACATAAGCAAAAGAGAAGGAAACAAGTCAGAATAGCCAGAGATGAATATCCTTTCAATATTTTACATAAAATTACATTGGATAACAAATTGTTTAAAAAGTGGAGATCATAGGATTTCACGATCCATTACAATGCATGTTATTACATAGAACAGTATACATTTTGTATAGGCACACCTATCATATCCATAAAGGGTATTTACAAAATTATTTTTGGTGGGCACTTAGCATTCCTGTGCGGTTACTTACTTATGAGTGCAGGTTGATTCCATGTTCCAAATGGGTGAGTAAAACCGCAAAGATGCTGATATAATAACCACCAGAAAGACATTGCACTGAAGGAGCATACTCTGGGCTTTGTCTTTCAATTCTTCTAATCTTAAGAGGGAGACACTCTTAAGTTCTCTCTTTATGGATGAGAAAAGCAAATATAGAGATTTTAGGCAACTAACTAGCTATGATATTCTGATGAAGGAGCAACGCTGGAATTTAAACCCAGGTCTTTCTGAGTTTGCAGCCAGAAATTGAAACTACCACAATCTACAATCTTCTGCTATCTACATGGACCTGTCACAGGTTTCTGCCTGCTTTGGGATAACATTGAATGTATACTTACAAGAGGAAACTGGAACTTTCAAATCGAAGAAATAGAAGAATTGGTTTTTATGGTTAGAGGTCTACAGACTCCACAGTTGCTATAAAAACTGAGTCCTGGGGCCTCCCTGGTGGCACAAGGGGTTAAGACACAACACTATGAATCTATTGGCAGCCACTGCAGCATGAGTTGGATCCCCGGCCGGCCAGGGAGCAGCCCACATGGATCAGCAGACCTCTCCTGTCTCACCTGCTACTCCCCTCAGCAGTGTATTTCAGTAGATCTGTCTGCTCTGCTCCCCACTGTGTCTCTGGTGAACCCTCACACCCTGCACCTCTGGCCTACCCTCCAGTTCTTGTATGCATAAATAAATAAAAATAAATCTTTAATTAAAAAAATTGAGTCCTGCCAGTGTCCTCCACCTGGCCCCACTAGGGCAGAGAGGCTAAGGGGGATCCCTAGCTCCAGTGTGGACTGGCCTCCCTATGAAGCAGTGAATGGCCTCTCCAAAGGCATCCCTGCAGACTTCACAGGGGCTCCTGGAAGAGATGCCAGCCTGGGAGCGAGTCGGAAGGCAACGCCGTGGCCTCTGCCCTCTGCAGTCCTCCTGTTCTGAGATACCGCAGCCCAGGCGGCTGGCTTGCACTACAATTATGATATAAAATTGGGGGAGTCTTTGTTTATATGTCATACTTACTAAATCAGTGTTTCAAAACTATTTATGTAAAAGAAAAGTCATCTTTGATCTCTAAAAATGTTTGGGGGTAGGTGGTGGAGGAGGAAGGCATGAACCCATATTTGGAAATGTGTTCAATTGGAGCAACATGCAAAAGCGCCTTCTGCTTCCAATTATGAGCCTTTGTTCCCTGGAAGCGGCCATCCTCCACCTTCCCGAGGCTGCCACCCAGCCTCGTTTTATTTGTGGGAGTCGCACATCGTTATGACTTATAATGTATACTCACCTGGAGAAAGCTGTAACCTGTGTACCCAGAGACACCCAGAATGCTTAGCCTAAGTTGGCCATTCCCCCCTTCTATTCTAATAGCTCTTTTTTTCTTTTTGTCACTCAAAACGAGTGTCTGATGTATGAGCATAAAT